TTGTTTTCTTCTTCAACTAAATTTAACCTCTCGACAAGGTCGGTTGGCATTTCCGATTCACATACATCCTAGATAAATAAAATCTATGTCACGTTGGTCGGCATAATTTTTATAAACAATAAATGAACCAATAGTTATAAAGATAATATACATACCAAATCCGAATCATAGACAGGACGAGGGCCGACGGGGGCTGATACCAAAACCATCGCACTATATAAGATGCAATAAAAATGTAAGAAAATGATACAAGTATCTATCTAAACATACAAGTAAGAATATTTTTCCTTTCAGAAAAAAGATAAGAACAAGAGGCTCACCACGGTGGTGTCGGTGATGAGATCGGCGCGGGTGATCGACGGCGGTGAAGACGGGGACGGGGCGTGACGGACCGCTAAATCTAGACAAATCTCGAGGAAAATGGAGCTTGGAGGTCGAGCTTCGAGAGGAGAAAGCTTAAGTAGTGTGGCTCGGGCATTTCATCGAACACCTCATGTACATAGGAGGTGAGCTAGAGCACCACAAAGCCCTCTCCCCCTCGGCCAGAGAAAACAGAGCACTGGGGTGCTCTGCTCGCGAGCGAGGGGTATATATAGACACCTCATTGGTCCCGGTTGGTGGCATGAGCCGGGACTAAAGAGAAGCCTTTGGTCCCGGTTCAAGCCACCAACCGGGACCCATGGTGGTGGGCATTTGGTCTCGGTTCTAGACTGAATCGGGACTAATGGGCTGATGCGGTCTAGACCATAGCCCTGTTTTCTACTAGTGATCCTGCGCTGAAAGATCTGTGCCTCTCCTTCGCGCTCTTCAAGCTGCTGCGCTCGAGGTTCGAGAACATCCCAGTGCGCGAGGTTGTCGCCCGAAAGAACCGTGGCTTCATTTTTGGATGCCTCGGCGACGGCAAAGACCAAAAGGAGGCCGAGAGGGCTTTCCAAGTGATCGAACGCGATCTCAGTTTAGTTGCCAACTCCTACCACTCGGCGTCGGTGATTCCGGCCGTGCTGTCCGGCGCATGGTTCTTGGTCGGAAACAGCATCCTAGTGCTCCTCATCACCCTCAACCAAAGCATTCATGGTCCTCTACGTCACCGGCAACGCCCAACTCGTGACCGTCATTGCCTGCCTCGCCCGTGACGTCGCCTATGGCGGCCGACTACTTCTTCAACTGCCTCTGCCGCAAGCTCCTCAAGATCCTCGTCATCACTGTCTCTTCCATCAACGTCGGCGTGTGCTTCATCCTCTTCTTCTCCTTCCTGCTCATGGAGGCCTGGGAGTCGTCGTCTACGTGCTCTCGGACTCCTTCTTGGTGTCGCTGCTGTGCTCGTACGCGCGCAGTCCCAGATGGCAGTCGTCGCGGTGCGTGCGGCGAGCCTTCGGCGCGCTGCTGTGGGTGAAGCGCGTCGGCCGGGCGCGCGGTTCAACCAGCTCTGCGTCCTCGGCCTGCGCCGCCGCCGCCTCCACACACTGAGGGTGATGATCTCCCAGCTGCTGCCGCTCCCCTTCTTCCTCGCCGTGCCGTCCGTGCCGGTGCCCAAGGAGGTGAAGCGCACGGTGTTCGCGTCCCTCAGGGCAAAAGGCGGCGGCGAGCCGCTCAGCAACGGCGCCGCCGTGCTGCGCCAGCGACGGTGCACGTACGCAGCTCGAGTGGGCGTGCAAGAGCAGGAGCATCACCGTAGTCATCCTCGTGTGGCATATCGCCACCAGCATCTTGGACACCAAAAGCTCGCCGGCGGTACAAGGATCACAAGCGGCGAGCATGGAGGAGGCGATGACGGTGGCGAGAACGCTATCCCGGTACTGCATGCACCTGGTGGCGTGCGCGCCGGAGCTCCTCCCGGGGGACGTGGAGGGGTCAAAGCTCGTGTACGAGGCCATGAAGCGCGACGTGCGGAGCAACAAATGGCGGCGGAGCAACAAGGAGACGGTGGCGAGCATGGGCGACAAGCTTGGGACGCAGCTGGTGGAGGAATGCACCGTCGAGGAGGCGTGGTCTCTGCTGGCCGAGCTGTGGACAGAGGTGGTCGTCTATGTTGCGCCCTCCGACAACATCGAGGGCCACGCCACCCACTGGGCGTTCGCCACCCACGCCGGCATCACTCGCTAGCTAGCTAGTTACTCCGGTAGTCCGGTGGTCTGGCCTCAGATCATATGCTCGTTTTCTGCCTGGCTTTTTCTTTTTCTTTTAATTTGTGTTTGGTTTCGCAACTAATTAAATGTTCTGGCACCCGCTTGCTAGACAGCGGGACCGCGACCGGCTTGGAGTGATGTTGGAGCGTCTCTCTGCTCCTTAGGCTTGCTTCGGAGTTTGTCACTAGGTGGCCTTTTTTTGTTTCTTGTTCGTTTCTTGGACGTGCTTGTACCGTGGCCCCAGCCGTCTGTTCCTTTGACTGTTCCGGATACTTAGCTGTATGGAGGTTGGCTTTATTTATAAAGCGGGGCAAAAGTCATTAGGTCGTCAATCAATCCAGATAGAAAACTGAAATGAGCTATGCAAGGATGATTTAATTTAAAGCGGGGCGAAAGTCATCGATGCTAGACTTGGTGTAGAGTTAATAGGGTTGGGTGTGGTGTGTTTTAGCCCCATAGAAGGTCTTCACACTGTTTTCAATTCTATTAAAGCGTCTTCAAGTTGTATCAAACATTTTTTTATTGTGCTACTTTATCTGTATGGCAAATTGCCGTACATCTTTACTATCTTTACCCGCATTGCATATCTACATATATTTTTAATTATGTAGTCCATTGCTCTGTACAAAGAGATAAGTGTATGAGGGCGAAAATCTTGTAGTCATTTGATGCTTTGCACTTTTCTTCTTTAATAGATGCTACCTCTGCTTTCCAAAGAAGTGTATTTTCTGTACCTATTTCCCTTTGGTTTAATAGGATGTACTTCACTGAGTTTCCATGAGCTAATTCAATGGGCATCCAAACAAGTGAATTCGTATTCGTGTCCATTACAGTTTCCTCGCTGAATTGGAATTGAAACAAATTCAATACGGAGGCCTCCAATACAGACATCCAAACACAGCGTTACACTTTGGGTCAGTATATACTAATATACACGGCCAATATTACATTCGCAACCCATTTTTCTGGCAAAAAATAGTTCCGGGAGATTTTGGTTAATGACCTCTGCCAGTTAGAATTTTGAGAACACTATCCTACTGATCAAGTTCTTCTCTTATGTCCAATTGATCAGTTCTCACTGGAGCCTGCCGCATTCAGAAATATATTCAGTTTAACGGTAGAATGAGTTTAATGTTCAGCAATATATAAGCTCGGTCAGGTTCAGCTCAAGCACATCGTGAAATACATCGATGGAGTGCGTTAAGCCAACACCGCTCATACACCGAGTAGAACACCTCTGCAGTAAACTGCTAGAACCTGGCACTAGCATATGCTCAGACTTCAGAAAACAAACATCAGTTCAGTCCGAGACATTCTCAACAAATGGTAAAACGTGACAGCCACCACACATGTATAGCTGCTACCCTCTTTTTTCTTTTGAAAAGCATAGCAAACAAATCACACATGCACCAGGACAGCTGCATCTGTGATATTACATCACTTGCTTTATTTTCAAAAGCATAATAACAAACAAACCACACTGTTTTTTATTTTATTTTTGTGGGGAAAAAACATATACCGAGCAAACTGTTGCGTTCTTCAGATTTGACACTGAAACTTCTTCCGACACCCGGCTGATGTTGTGTACAAATTGGTTGCTTTCTAGCAGCTGTGGAAGGGATTGACGAGACCGAGGGATCGTGTCTGCGTGGATCGCCTCATCAACAGGCTGAAGAGCAAGTGTGGTGAGCTCCGGCGCTCTGGATGGAGGGACTGCACCGACAGGCGCACCGCCCTCATCATGGTGCCCGGACCGAGCCATGTGATCATGCCTGTGAGCGGCGCTGCGTCGCTGTATAGGGCCTTCGTGCCCTGTATCTTTCTTTCTCGCATTTGAATCTCCTGTACCTCTTTTCGCTGCCTTTGGTACTCTCTAAGGGCCTCATCATTAAGGCCGAGCAAGCACTTCCGCTCTAAAAAAAAGTGTTGCATATTGTTAAACTAAATTGCACTGTTTTTTATTGGCAAGTTAAATTAATACAACGGCATTTAGATTATCATGAACTTTTATGAAAGATAAAGCACTTGATGGATTCAGAATCTGTTTGTGAGGTTTATAAAAGAAAAGATTTAACAGTCAGTGAATGCATCGGTATTTTGTAGTCACAGCCATTAGTATAGTAGTATAATAACACCCCAAACTTCTATCTACTCCCTCCGTCCTAAAATAAGTGTCTCAACTTTAGTACAATTTTATTTTGTACTAAAGTTAGGACAAAGTTAAGATGCTTATTTCCAGGCAATACATTCAGAACACAAAAATTGTGCCATAGAGTTCACAAAGTGGCCGACCAATATAATTCACACAAAGAGCCAAGCAATTGCAACAACCAGCACATATAGCTGCTGCTTTTTCTTGTTTTTTTCATAACCATACCAAACAACACACACCGGCAGCTAGCAGGTCAATGCATGCACAAGCACACACACAACCTGCCGAGCTGTTTCTTGGTTCAGTTCAAATACATGGGAAACACTCTCAAACAAGTCACACCCAGAAGCAGCTAGCCTTGTAGATGCACGCAGGCACACATAGGCAGCTGTAACCACACAGACACACACGCATAGCAAGCGTTCATCAAAGCCACACACACAAATACAGTCTGGTGGATTCACGCAGGCATCCACAGTAAAAAGCCGCTCCAATCTCAAACCACACGCACGCGCACCATCCAGGTCTGTGTAGGCAGGCACAAACCTGTTCGTCTCTTATTTGAAATCCACAAAATAATAAACGGTGAGAGCCACCATAAGCTCACACCTAATAAGGCTAATACCAACCCAAGCAGGCACACAAAGCAAACCAAACGCATGATTCAGCAGCAGCGTCCATCACTTTCACGTAGTGACAGAGGAAACACCACAGTGCAGAGTTCACCTAGGCGACATACATGAGAGACACGGAGAAACAAGATGGTAAGTAACTGAATGCAATCAGGAGCAGTGGCAAATGGACTCAGAAGTCATTTGCATGTATAATTAGTACCTGAGGACGGAGACCCTGGGCAGTTTCTCCTTGTAGTAGCGCGAGTGGACCGGCGCCATGAAGTGGTCGGGGCGGAGGTCGGCGTCCCACTCCAGAGCATCCCACACGTCCTTCTCCATCTCGACGGCCGGCTTCTTCTCACCACCGCCACGAGCACCCACGGATGGCAGCCTGCGCAGGCTCCAGCATCCCCTGATCTTGAGGCTCTTGAGCGCAGGGGCCACCATCTCGACCTCGCATATCTCCTGCAGCTTCGGGAGGTCGTGCAGGTGGATGGTCGCCAGCTTCGGGAATAGTACACCAAAGGTAGTCATTTCGTCCTGTACGAAGACGTGGCTGAGGTTGCTGCAGTGGATGATGTGGAGGGTCTCCAAGCTGGGGAAGTAGGAGACCCACAGAGGGAGCACAAACTGGAGGCTGGGGCATGAACGCAGCTGAAGGTGCTGTAAATTTTCAAAGGATCCAATCACACCATATCGATTAATGCGTGAACCTTTACGCAAAATCGAGCGGGCCATCAGGAGATCTGACACCCACAAGTTCTCCAATGCAGTAAATGCGAATGAATTCTCATGGAAGACAGTATCCACTTTTGGGCACATCTCCAAGCAACACCACCTAAGCTTGCCCCACCAACGGCCTTGTGGCACAATAGCACGAACCGAGACATCATGCACTTGCAGGGATTCCACATAATTTGCCATCATGCCTAGTGCTCCGCCAAGTTCCCTCTCCACGTAGAAGCTCCCTTCAGCAATCTCTACATGTCGATTAGACTTTGTACTCGGAGGTTGTGGAAAGGCCTGCATTGGGGCAGCACCAACCATCCCAAGGACATCACTATACTGGTCTGTTGGAATAAGATGTGTTCTCTCTTGATCACTGGTGCCAATCATATCATTGCTAGTTGCTTCAAATTGAATAACCCCATCATACACAGGTGAGGAGGTGAGGTGGATATTAAAATGAACATTTTCTATATAATTAGAAATCAGTTTCCGCAAGGAGCGACCAAGCCTCGCATCCACAACAATAGCATGGATCTGCAGCCCAGAAGGTTTGTTTTTGCTGATAGATGGCCGAGGACACACAATTCCATCTCGCGTGTCTACGCACATCAACTCCAGGTCAGAAACACTCTGGTGCAAAAAGGTTATTGCACGAAGGTGCTTGCATCCTATTAGAAACAGTCGTTTGAGACTTGGTATTTGCACCACCATAGTCTTGAAGTCAAGTATCTTGATTGGTGTTCCAGAGAGGTCCAGTTCCACTAGGTTGGGTAGCCCACACAAGTACAAATTCTCCAACTGTGTGCAGCCTACTAAGGAGATCTTGGATATTCTGACATCCTTATTATCTGTTGTCCTGGATGGACGAAATTGTTCCAGAGGTAGCTCAACAGTTTGTGTCCATTGAGCAGCTGCCCCATACCCATTAAAGCTAAAGGATTTGAGGGAAGGAGGAAGCCCACCAACACTTTCCAGTTCATCACAACCATCAAGTACAAGCATCCGGAGGCTACCTGCCTTTGATAAGCTTGTTGGAAGAATCTTCATGTCACAATTGCCAGACAAGTCAAGTATTTCCATACTTTTCTTATCCATGAAGTAGTTATCGACATCCTCTGAGGTCTTCCATTGACATGTCGGTTTGATTATTCGGAGCCTCTGGAGGTTAGGTAACCGCCCTTGTAGCTCAGCGGTGTATTGCCAGCCCCTGACTCCCTCTATATTTAACTCTCTGATATTTTTCATGAGGTTTAACATTTCCTTGGATAAGATTTCATTCCAATCGGTGTAACGCAGGTCCAACACCCACAAGCTATTCAGACATAACCAAACTGCATGATTCTCTCCTCCAATAGTTTCGTCATCTGTACAGTGGTCCAGTCCAAGGAATCTTAGGCTACGACACTTCAGGAAAGAAGGTGAAGCAAAACTAAAGGAACAACAATAGAGAACCAGCACACCGAGCTTGCTGCAATGATCAAAAAATCCATCTGGTAAAGCTGTTGGGTGTTTGGATATTTCAAATGCCAAGAAGAAAGATGATGCCGTTGCAGGTATTGTTTTCATAGCATGTACTTCTGCATCTCTTGACGTGACCGAAATCCAACGGTATGGGCCTTCTTCATAGACATCATCATCTTTGATTACTAGAAAACGAGGCTCCAATTGTTTCATAGACTTTGTAAGAACATCCTGAAGCAGAGAAGCATCACACTTCCAATTTATCTCTCGATACAATGCATTACTAATATCCCTTGCTTTGTCCCCTTGTATGATTGCATCGCATATCCAATAGTTGGAAGCATGAGATACCCAACCAAATTTACTGACATTGTGGAAATTATAGTGCAGGAATAACTCATAAAGACAACAACCTCCAATAATTGCTTGGTCAATGTCCAGAATACATGTATTGCAAGGAACTACGGTAGCAGCTTCTTGATGTAGCAGTCCAAGAAACTGAAAGCTTCTCAAGTCTTTGATAGAGCAATGACAGAAAACCTGAGTATATCTTAGCTTTTTTGCTACCTCAGAACGGTCCTGGTGCATGGTCAGACAGCTTCTGCTGAAGGTCCATAACATCACGTTGTTGCCATATCTTGTTAGAGGAATACCCATGAGACCTACATCAACCTCGTCATCACTCCCATTAAGAAAAATCATCATAAATTTGACATCCCTCAGGGTTCGATCAATCACTTGACTAACACTATATATCTCATGCCTCAGGCTTTCATCATGTCCCTGAAAATCGTCATCTTCATCTTGCTTATCTAAAATAGTCATTACAGAGCGATCAAGTTGCAATTCTTCTGCAATTGCCCTCTGCACTCCTCTTCTATTTTTCCACTTTGAGCAATCTACAAAGATTATTTTGTCAAAGCATAGTTCCGGAGTGGTTCTCCTAGATGGAAGCACTGCAGCTACTGATGTAAGAACAGCGGATGCTCCAAATCCATTCCAACCATCAAAACATATGACCCTCCAGTAATACTCGAACTGAATAACATCGAATAATATTTCTGTGGCGGCGTCAACATCATCCGCATAGAACGGCTGTAATAAAACACGTCAATAAGTTAAAACGCCTTTGGTAGCTGCAACACTAACTTAACATATACCAATAATGCATCTCTGAACAAGCGAACTTGTTGGAATAATCTAGATTAGATGCTTAGTCGAGGTGGATTTGGACTGTGTTGTCCGCGTCCGAGTGCGACAGGCATTGTTTTCCGTGTTCCGTACGGGTGTCGTGGTCTTAGTTGAGTAGGAGTGGTTTCAGTGTGGAAGTCCTGGTCGATTAGGCACTAGTTGTACGTGTGTATGTGTGTATATAAACACGTGAGTGTGGCGTTAGTTTGTAGCAGGTTGTGAGCTTTGAGGAATCTATATCTATATCTATACCAATATAAAAAGACCCAAAAGGGCAGATCCAATTAATCCCATCCATCAAATCATGTCAATCCAACGATCTGGACTGCTTCAATGTCGAGCGCTCAACGCATTTAGCGTGCAGTTAATTTCATGCTAAATATAGTGCTAATCACATATTAACACACAAATAATATCCTACATAATATCCTCATGCATTTAACATACTTCCAAATTAACGTGCATTGCACGTTTTTTGAACACAATACAAACGCAAGCGCTCATTTAAATTAACGTGCATCGTAGGTACACATTGACTAGTAAATAGAAAGAAAAGAAAGGCACCAGACATGCCTTTGGCCTAAGATTTTCCCGGGTGCTGTGTTCCGCGTGAGCATGTGTTTATGTTCTTGGATCAAATCCAACAGAGTTGGTATTACAACACTCATTTGAGTCGCATCTAGTCTACTCCACGATTAATTGTTTACGGCATCCAGTCTACCTATTGGATAAGACGACACTAGCGTCTATGGTTAGCTGAGTTTTAGTTTTTTTTTACGTAGTCTGTGGATCTGTCATGTTTCCTTATCTTGTTGGCATTTGCCTTTAAACAAAGTAACTTTTGTGTGATGCGCCGCATGCATGCAGGAGCTAAACTTGTAAGCTCAGATAAACAACCAAATTAACTTCACCAATTTCTTTTTTTTTTCAATATACTCCCTCCGTTTTTAAATATAAGATACTTTAGCTTTTCTCTATTTTCTCAGATTTATATGCATCTAGACACACTTCAGTGTGTATATTCACTCATTTTAATCCGTATGTAGTCTATATTAATTGCAATATCTAAGACATCTTATAATTAGAAACGGAGAGAGTACAACTATGTTGTGCCACCAGAAACAACAAAACCAACCAAGGGATATGAGATCAGTAGTCCTGCTGCATCACTCCACGAGGAAAAAAAACTAATCAAATTTGTACCAAGATCCTTTTGGCATATACGCCTCTAGGCAGATGAGTGAGATTTTGTATGACTGCTATTTAAAATTCATAGTGTAATACCAAGCGCTTCTAGCTAGCTAGCTGTATATAGTTGGGTTCACATGCCAAAGCCATCTCACAATCGAGAATGCCCCTTGCAATCAGTGAGAAAGCAACATATGTACACTTACGGTGTGCTGAGATCCAAACTCCTGCTTAATTTTTTTATTTTGTTTTTTGGAAAAGGAGGTTAAAACCCCTGGCCTCTGCATCAATCGATGCATACTGAACATAGTTCTGACAAGAACATACATCAAGCCACCTGAAGCAACCATTCACACCTACAAATTCGATAATGTAGAGTGCTCTCACTCCCCATATCTAAAACCAGTGTCACCGCCTGTATGAAAGGTCTGTCATGCGTAGCACCCACCGAACAGGCATGACACATCGTAACACCCGTCGGCCAGGCATGACTTGACATCTTCACTAAAGCTCCGTGCAAGGCGAAGCCACTCCACCTCCTACCTCAGTCTTCTAGTGCTGCTCCACAAACGATGCTCCCAAGAAAGAATCGACGCCGCAGTGCCGCCATCGTCTGATCTAGAAGACCAGATCCTAGGGTTTCCCCCAGAGCAGCACGAGTGGGTCGACAGTAGTTACACGACAATGCCTTCATCAAGGTAACGACGCAGAACACCGTCGTTGCTGCCGTCGGCTCGGTTTTCACCGGCAACTATGTCTCCCCGACTCGCGGCCGGGACTAGATTGTGTGTTGTCGAACCCCAATTTTTCTTCTAGTGGGCATGCCAGAGCCATTTCACAATCTACTATGCCATGCAAGTAGTGAGAAAATCGTACACGTGCTCTAGCTAGCTAGCTAAATTAGTCGTGCATGATTTGGGGTTGATGTAAGAGCAATGGTAGAGGTAACCATGAAAGTTTCAGGAGAATAATTCCCAGCTAAAAGAGAACCATGCATATGCATATACTAGTTTGTGAACGTAAAAGGCACAAGGGTATTACCCACTCCTCAAGATCACTACTCATGATGAATTCCTCCAACAAATATCAAGAGAGATATCCAGCAGCAGATTTAATCAATCATGAACTGATGAATACTACCATGATGAATTCCTCCATTCAAGACCAAGAAAGAGACAAAAGCAGCTGCAAAACTTAATAAATCTTGGCACCACCTACAAACACAACAACAAGCACAACATGTTAGTTTTGTGCTTCACCATTGTTAACCAGTACCTGTAGTCAAGTACATACACACACACATTTTCTTCTGGTAGAATAATTCAGACGGCATGAAGAAAGAGCCAGAAATGTAACTGTGTTGCTAGCTAGTATGTACGTATCTCTACACACAGCAGGCGAGTGAAGCTCGACAGACAGCAGACAGTTTCTCAATATCTACTCTTGTGAAAGTAGAAGCAACGAAACCCGGTTTCTCAAAAAGAAGCAGCAAAACCAACGAGCATCACTGTACGCCCTGCATGCATTCCAGAAGAAAAACTAAATAAATTCTGTCCAAGACCCTACCCAGTGAGAATCTAGTATGACGGTTAATGTTTTACATATTACATGATGTTCGTAGGTGGAGTTTTTTGGGATAAAAATGTGGTGTAATTCATTTAAGACTGAAGCGATTATATGCATGTTTAGAAAACTAGCTAGGTGTGAGGATGCATTTTCTGATTCCCCGGGATGATGATCCACCGCCTCTTGAGTGAAAACTGTGTGCGCGCGTGTGTGTAGTGCTCTAGCTAGTGAGAAAACCGTAAATGCACAAGAGTGCTTACCTCGTATCCAACAGAACTCATGATGTTCCCAAGACCAAGAAAGAAAAGCAGCAGCAAAGTTAATCCATAATCAACTGATGAGGGCCGGACTAATGATCAATTCCTCTGTCCAAGACCAGCCAAGAGACGAATGCAGCTGTGTAACTTAACAAATCTTCAAATGACGAGAAGAAGTACTCAGGAACCAGGAATCAGAAGATGGATCCCTCCGTTGAACACCATGAGGGAGAATCAGCTGCAAGTTCGATCAATCTAACCCATCGGCACCACCTACAGAGTAGAAACCATGGTTTTCACTTTCAGTGGGATTTCGATGAAATCTGAATTTCATTAATTTCAGCAGACACTGAAATATTACGTTTCGGCCAAAATATTTCAACAATTTCAGTAGTACACATAATTTCAAATGTTTTCCAAAATATTTTTCAAATATTTTTTAAATTTCAATTGAATTCAAGTGAATATTTCAGCCCTTTGACTGAAATGAAAACTGAAATCACTGAATTCACTGAATTTCGGTGATTTCGGTTGGTGCTGAAATTTTTCTGAAACTGAAATTGAAAACCATGGTAGAAACACAATAACAAGGACGAGATGTTATGGTTGTGCTTTGCCATCGTTAACAAGTAGTGCTACTCAACTACATATATACTCAAAACTTTCTTCTGGAAGAATAACTTAGAGGGCACGAAAAAAGCAATCAGGCAAATGAAATTGTTTGTTAGTGGCTAGCTAGCTAGCTACTACATGTGTACCTTAACAGCAGACAGCAGACAAGAAGCTCTGATCTGCTTCCTCGGTCGTCAAACTGACTGCTAATGCAGGAGTTGCAGACAGACCAAAGCAAATTGCCTCCTATCTTCTCTGCTTGCAACTAAAGAGTGCAAAATACGTTGCTTGATACCTCCCCCATACTGTCATGGTAGCTTCATGAATGCATGGACTTTTGCTTCCTCCCTTTCGCTTTGCCAAAGCATGAAGCAACGTATGTATGCTGCTGCTCTGTTTTTGCTTTTTCTTTTTTGTTCTTCTTTTCCAAAGATAATTGAGATGCAGCTTCTATTACAAGCTTGATTATTTTTCTTTTTTTTTTATTTTCCAGCACTACAATTTCCATGGTGTTTTGTGCTTCTGGAGATAGCTTTTGTACAGTAAGGTCTATTGACGCAGGCAACACATCGCAATGTCTCTGTCTCCTAACTTCCCAAGGGTAGCAGCACTCCCTCTGTCTAAAATATTAACACGTATTCTGACTGTCCAAGTTCAATCTTTGAACAACAATCAATCTAACAACATTATATTATTATTAAAAAGAATTTCCTTCTGAATTTTTTGTAATTATTCAGAAACATTGAAGAAGAAATTTATGATCGAAGCTCTGAACTTGGCCTTATAATTATATTCAGACCACGTCTTGCCTTTTGAAGTTCTGAAAGCACTCCTGATTATTTCTAAAGTATGAAAGCAAAGGTTTTTCGTTTTTTTAAGTTATTGAACAATTCCAAAGAACATCAGAGCAAGCTTCGAGAATCCACTATTTCTGGACACTTCTAATCCGGCCAAAATAAATAAATAAATGAGGGTGTTACTGTTATCTCCTCAATAACAATCTAGGCATGCATGCACATATTTATTTAACAGAAGAGTGATGAATGTACATGACTACACACCTGGAAACATATGGGATAGTCTCCCTTCTGTTATGACAGAAGGCGTGATCTCTTGAGCTCTTCAGAGACCCGTCATGACCACCGTACGTATGAATAATTGAATATCCCATTCAGAAATAAATTCAGTTTAACAGTTGAATCCGTTTACCATTGAGAAATATATAACCTCGGTCTGGTTCAGTTTGATAGCTAATCTGTTGCATGATCTAGCATACATCTT